TCAAAACCAAAACAAATTTATCAAATAACTGAAAAGTACCTTCAATGATCTCCATATTATCATGATATTCATTAGTAGACCCGACCTGTTGAACGCATTTCATGTTGAGTGGACGACTCAGACACATTTCTTCCTCTACCTCTCTGATGTACCATAGCATATCATTTGGTTTGTACAGGCTCTCCAGTCATGAATGGATAATCCCGGTTAAAATGTCCAGTGTCCCCACATCTGAAACATGCTCCGGAGACCACTCGACATACTCTGGTTTGATTCTTTCCACAATGTTGATACTGTCTCGATTGACCTTGATTTGATCTTCCAGCTCCAGACCCTGCTGATTGAGTCTGTTTTACTCTCATCTGATTTGATCCTCTAGAAGAGGATGTAGCTAACTCGAATCTAATCTGAGATCGAAAACTGAAATTGCTGCCCCTCTTTGATGGTTCTAAGCTCGATAAAGCACCAGCTCTCTTAGTCATCTGAGCTTTTTGTTCTCAAAACCTCTCACTCTGAGTTTTGTCTAGAGCTTTAGCACGATTAACCACTTCTTGAAATAAGTATAAATTCAAAACTATTAACACTTCTTTTAAGATGGGGTGCAAGCCTTCCACAAACCAATCACATGCATCATTTTCAGTCGGAACTAGTTCGGCAACAAATCTACTTAGTTTATTAAACTCGCACTCGTTCTCATACACGGTGTGATTCCCTTGCTTTAAACTCATAAATTCTTACCTCATTTTCCTAATAAACTGATCACCAATATACTTGTTCTTGAACTCTTCTAAAAACAATGACCACGTCACTTGGTTACTTGACATTCTCATGGTTACATTAGTCCACCATACCCGAGCTTGCCCTTGTAGCAACAAGACTACTCCATCTAACTTCTCCACTTTCGAAGAGTGGAGACCCTCCAACATGATCTTTACGTCATTAAGCCAAAGGTCCGCAGCAATAGGACCTTCCTCAGCTTCACCCCTAAACTCGAGTGCTCCTAACCCTTTCAACTCTTTTGCTACGTTCGTCCTAGGAGTTGAGGGAGCAGGTGGTTGGAAATGCGTCAGAATATCGTACAACGTCTTAAAAAACACTCCCTGATCTTGTACAAGCACTCTCAGAGGCGTCTGTTCTTCACCTTGCCTAGCCAATGAAGGTGAATTACTACTACCCTCAAGTCCTTCATATCCCGCTTCACTTCGGAAGCCCTCGTAGTTAGACATCTAATAAGATACAACCATTTAACTCTATTAGCAATCACAACATATTCATAACACTATCATACCAGAAATTTTTCACTTTTTGTTGGCATGTATACTTTTTAAAACACACTTGACTTCAGTTTAAGCCTATAATCGGCTAAACCATAGCTTTGATACCATTAAATGTAACACCCCAACCCGTATTCGACCCGGATACGAATCCGATGTGTCACATTAACTTTTCAAATCATTGACTTTTAAAAAGTAGTAAAAAATTTAATCTCTATTTATATCACAATGGTGGAACTCTTAATAAAAAATAAATAGAGAAAATTCAAACTCAATTTGAAATTAAAAACTTAATAATTTACATACATACAATAAAGTATGTTTACAAAAATGATTAGAGCATATGCGATTTAAACATTTAATTACATGCCAAAAAAATTCAATGTAACAAAAGAACATACTGCTTAAATTGTTCCTGATCTGATCTTTGGTAGAGATATGATGTCTTGACTTGTCCTAACTTTGTTCTTCCGACTTCTTTGAACCTACGTGTGAAACTCCCACACACTAAATCTTTGACTTAGTGAGACATAAAATACATAAATAAAACATTAAAACATTTAATCTTATTCTTAACTTTTATAAAAATCATATAATAAAGACACCATAGTAAATTTTATAAAACAAAAACACACATTATCATGAATTGTTCATTCATATCATTTCTTTTAATAGCCTATGGTATATTACTGAGAACTCAAGGTATGTGAGTGCATTGAGGTTGTGCACTGGGTTACAGTCGAAACTTCCACATAGAATTGCACCGAAGTACCACGTAGAATATGCACCGAAGTGCCACGTAGAAATGTCCCAACGGACCGCGTAGAAATGTCCCGAAGGACCACGTAGAATTGTCCCGAATGACCGCATAGAACCCTCGACTCTTGGCATATCTTTAGCTCTCATATCACATACTTTTGGGCTTTACCAATTATACATTTCATAGCTTATATCTCATATTCACATAATCACATAGATCAATAACACATAGTGTGAAATATAAACAGTGCATGTACGCATAGTAACAAAATCAAAACTATACTTATATTTATGTAAACATGTAATCATATCATGTAATAAACTTTAAAAATATTGTTCTATTCAAAACATTGGAAATAGACTCATCGCAAGTCTTCTTTCCATATAACCATATATTATAGTAATATGCACTCACCTTTTTGCCTCACTTAGTCAAAGTAACCCTTATCCCTCTTCGCCAATCTTATAATGTCTAATCATCTGGAATTTTCCTTCGTTCAATATCTACACAAATAATACGATCAATATGAATATCAGAGTTATTATTACTATTAATCAATCATCAATAATTTAAGCTAAATGAAACACCTACTTCATAATTTCAATATGAATAGTATTGGTACTCTAGGCCTAGTACTGATACTTCCTCATTATGGTATCGATACTATACTTCAATATCGATACCCAATCTATATTATGGAATTGGTCTCTAAAAATGGTACCGGTACTTGTCCATTAGTATCGATAACCTTGGTATCGATGCTACTCCTTCTGTGTCGACATTGTTCTATTAATTCATACCATTTCACCTTATAGTATCGATACTGTTCTTCTAGTATCAATACACAAACTCATATTTCACCTATTTTTCTTTGAAGTATCGGTATTGTTAATCCAATACTGATACCCTTGCCCAGAATTTACCCTTTTCATTTAAAAAATTTACCAAAACTCACCAAAATCTCCCACACTTTTAACTCCTTTCAGGCCTTTAACTCAACTACACTTACCAAAACCAACTTATATCACTTTAACATTCCTAAATATCCAAAATCTCACAAGAAAACTTGAAACTAAAAATCATACCAATTAATCATCATATTTCAAATCCTTTTCCAACACCTTAAACTTGTTACTCTAGCATATGTTAGGTCAAATATAGCTTCAAAATCTATTTACTAACCATTTCTCATCAATTCTCTCAAAAACCCTCTTTACTCAATTATCAATAACTTATCTACCCTTTAGTTTCTACTTCTCTTTAATCTTTCTCAAGCTTCCTTAATACCCCAAGACTCAAAACCAAATCAAAATTACAAGAATTAACTAAGTTAAGACGTCCTTACCTTAGCTATAAAGAAACTGTGGAGAGAAGGAAGAGAGGATATAGAGAATTCTAGATTTTCTTTTCTTCTTTCATCACGTGTATATAATACACCACTAAGGAATTTTAAATTCATTTATTGTCTAAAAACCATTATGCCCTTCCATCTTTCAATCTTTTCTAATCAAACCTACACCAATAATTTTCAATTAAATCCCTGAACTTTTCAATTTATCTAATTTAATCACAAAGTTTTAAAATCTTACACTTTAGTCACTTGCCCGGTGTTTGGGATGTTACAATGTTAGTATCGACTATCGTAAATGATAAAAATAAATAAAGAAAATGATGCAATTATTGTGTTGCAGTAAAATCTACTGTCTTAGTAGCAATTTGCTCAGATTAGTATAATCATGATAATAGATGTTGCCTTTTTAAGATTAACACAATCTTTCATACACCGTACAATTGAAGTGGGAAGTGAAACTCAATTAGTGTTGCTCCTTTTAAACTCAAGACTAAAGGGAGGTAAAATAGAATAGTCATACTTTTTTCCCTAACAAATATGGGAAATGGTTATCTCTTATATGAATAGTAGACGGGTAGAATTCTCGAATGATAACTACTCACTGTATCTACTCTCTAAATATGATTATACCTTATAATTTTATTGTATTTAGAAATTTACTTTTTTTTAATTAAAAAGAAAAATATAAACAATATATATATATATAGTTGTCTTTGTATTTAAATAGAAAGGGTGTTATGTGTTCATCAGTAAATTTAAAGAGAGAAATGAACATTTTTCAAGTGAAATATTTATTTAACTTAAAGAGTTTATGTATTTTTCCTGATAATAATTTTTTTTGGTACGGAAGGAGACTAATTAAGAAGCCAGGGTTTAAGACTACCGTCTACCTAATCAAATGGTGTATGTTGTTGTTTAATGCCACATTTATTTGAGAGAACAGATGAAAAGAACTTTGGCTGTAATCTGTCATGGTTGTATTCAATGATTCTGATAGATGAGCTAAATCAACATGTGCAAGTCAATGCCATTTATGTTTTACTCGAAACTTCTATATTAGGTATCTATGTTATTTTTAACTGCAAATTTATACTCTTCATATTTTTAGGTAGATTAAAGGTTGATATTTTAATAATTATTTTATTTTATTAGTATTTTAATTCTCAACATTTTAATTTAAAATAACTAATATTTAGATGAAAATATTTAATTTAACTAATGATTAACTGTAAATATAAAAAAGTTGTATGTTGGCATGGTGGCTAGGCATTGCATCTTCTTCCGCACCAGACCCGGCCAAATCTGGGTTTCTTTAATTTAAAAGTCGTGCAAGCGGAATTGTGCCATACTGGCAATTTCAAACAAAAAAGAACATCGAAAGGATCAACTTGAATGGGGGGGGGGGGGGAACTGAACCCTTGTGAAGTAAGCAAAGCATGCATTGATGAAACTAATTATTCAGTTTAAATAAATAGGCTAGCGGGTGCAACAACTACTAGGGCCTGAGTTGATCCCTAGACTAAGTTTTCCCTGGAAATGACACCATTTCTATAGCCAACCAAACCCTATAAAAACCCCTCCCCTCACATTTGTATCACCCAAATCAAAGGCGCGGTTGAATTCTGTCTGCCAATTAGCTACAGATGGAGTCCATCGCCCTTTTCCTTTTCATTTCTTGTGCATTATTTTCCTTTAGCAGTGGGGAGATTCACCAACATCAATTTGTGGTATGTGATTGATTGTTTTGTTCCATTCTGGTGAAAAGAGTTTGTTTTAATTTAATTAGTTAACTCAATTATGAATGAAACAGATCCAAGCAACACCAGTGAAGAGGTTGTGCAACACTCACAACAGCATCACTGTTAATGGCATGTTTCCTGGACCTACCCTTGAGGTCAGGAATGGTGATTCCCTTCAAGTTAAAGTTGTCAACAAAGCTCGATACAATATCACCGTTCACTGGTAATTCAATAATTTTATTTTCATGCATGCATGCATGAAATCAGCTTTCCATCATAAACATGTATAGTTTTCAAAACATGTATGCTTTTTGATAATCTGCTGGTATATAACATTGATTTACCATAACCATGAGTTTGATGTACAGGCATGGTGTTCGACAAATGAGAAGCGGATGGGCGGATGGACCAGAATTTGTGACTCAGTGCCCGATTAGACCAGGAGGAAGCTACACCTACAGGTTCACAATTCAAGGACAAGAAGGAACATTGTGGTGGCACGCTCACAGCTCATGGCTTCGAGCCACTGTTTATGGAGCTCTTATCGTCCGTCCCAGACTGGGCGAGTCCTACCCTTTCCCTAAACCAAACCGCGAAACTCCAATTTTACTCGGTAATTATATGATTTTTTTAACATGTGATCATTTTAATGGTAATTAATTATGAGGGTATGCCTAGAATAAAACTCAATTGTTGATTATGACTACAAGGTGAATGGTGGGATGCAAACCCCGTTGATGTTATGATGGAAGCGACGAGGACAGGAGGTGCTCCAAATATATCCGATGCTTACACTATCAATGCTCAACCTGGTGATTTATACAAATGTTCCTCCAAAGGTATAACAATAAGAACTTTCAATGATTTGATTTTGCCAGGAGATTGATATGCCTGAAATTTTTACTTCTTTTATAGACACCACAATCGTTCCCATAGACTCCGGCGAGACCAACCTCCTTAGAGTCATCAATGCTGCCCTGAATCAGCCGCTTTTCTTCGCAGTGGCCAACCATAAGCTCACCGTTGTTGGTGCTGACGCCTCCTATACCAAACCCTTCACCACTTCGGTACTCATGCTAGGTCCCGGACAAACCACCGATGTTCTCATCAAAGCCGATCAGCTACCAGCTAGATACTATATGGCGGCCCGAGCCTACCAAAGTGCCCAAAACGTACCCTTCGACAACACTACCACCACTGCCATTCTTGAATACAAGTCTAGCAAAAAGGGCAATGCACTCAAACCAATTATGCCTTCTCTGCCGGCCTACAATGATACCAACACTGTTACAGCCTTCACCCGAAGCTTTAGAAGTCCCCGAAAGGTCAATGTACCGACCGATATCGACGAGAGCCTTTTCTTCACCGTCGGTCTGGGACTCAATAGCTGCCCTCCAAATTTTCACAAAAGTCGTTGTCAAGGACCCAACGGTACACGTTTTACTGCTAGCATGAACAACGTCTCATTCGTGCTCCCAAAGAACTTTTCTCTTTTACAAGCTCACAAACAGGGGATTCCAGGAGTATTCACCACGGATTTCCCGGCAAGCCCGCCAGTGAAATTCGATTATACCGGCAACGTCAGCCAGTCTCTCTACCAAACTATCACAGGAACTAAATTGTACAAATTAAAGTTCGGTTCAAGGGTACAAGTTGTGGTTCAAGGCACGAGCATTGTAGCACCCGAGAACCATCCGATTCATCTTCACGGATACGATTTCTACATCATTGCAGAAGGTTTCGGAAACTTCAACCCCAAGAAAGATACATCCAAGTTCAATCTTGTCGATCCACCTCTAAGGAATACGGTTTCGGTTCCGGTGAAAGGATGGGCAGTCATTAGATTTGTGGCAGATAACCCAGGTAAAAATACAAGTTGTCTCGATGAATCCCTTTCTTTGATGTTTGAAATTGATCTCTTTTTTGGAACACAGGAGTGTGGATAATGCACTGTCACTTGGACGTCCACATCAATTGGGGTTTGGCTATGGCTTTCGTGGTTGAGAATGGAGTAGGAGAATTACAGAGCCTGCCACCACCACCGCCGGATTTCCCTGTTTGTTAGGATTCATCACATTGAAATTCATAAGCCCAAAGAGAAGAAGGGGAATTGGACTTAGTTCATACCCGTGAATATTGTTTCCTTTGGATTAAATAAAGCGGGTACCGTATGATTGTTTTCCTTTTCCCAAGCCTAAAGTGCAAAATAAATGTGTTTTCACATTCTATGATCAAATATCATGATTTTGTAACTTGTCCGCTTATCGACTTGAGGAGCAGGATGCCCTCTATCCAATTTGCTTTCTCTCTTTCTGCCCTTTAAGAAATTTACAGTTCAATTTTTTCAAATAATAAAAAAAAAATCATGCTTTGTAAAGGCCTTTTCTTCTTTATTTTCTTTTCGTTTTTTGTCATGTTCGAAAATAAATCAATAATAAGGGTAAACTATATCAATGATCATTTAATTATTACTTAATTTCATTTGATCACAAATATTTTAATTTTATCAATCAGATCATCTAATTATTTAATTGTTGTCAATCAAACTATCGGTCGTTAACATTTAACGAAAGATTTGATGCGAGAGTTAAAATAATTAATGTAATTACTCATTTAATCCTCATTGCTTATGCATTCTATCAATTATCCATACTAAAAAATATACTCATGACTATGTTTCATATTCATAAACCACACTAGGTCATTAAAATGATACATTTTATTCATTATGGAGCTATGATTTCATATCTATAAATACAAATGTCTTGAATATATTTTAAGGAGCATGCTCAACATATCAATTATCAACATACTATCTTAAGGAGTATCGATTTTTTATATATCAAAGCATGCAAGTTAAACATATATATTTCTACATTTACCCAGGATAGAGGTAAATATATTTTGAATGTCAGAAACAAATTTAGTTTACCAAATAAATTTAAGATTAATTTATTTAGATCAATTTTAATGTGTTGCCAATGTAAACTAATATATTCATGTCTCTACTTAAAAGTTTATATGTTCTGAATATAGCCAGATCCCATGAACCCAACCCTCTTGAGGATTTGGTCAGCTCACATTATATATCCCAAATTGTCCAAATAAACCACCCACCTTCTGTTTTTCTTCCTTCATTGCATACAAGTTAGACCCTACTCGATTCATTTCCTTGACCAGGTATTTCGAGTATAGATTCATTTCCCAATTTGTCAACTCGGCTATTAACTTTTAATTTTATTATAATTAGCTAGATGGTTAGGAAATTGTGAGAAAATAATTAATTTCAAGCTTGTGATTAACTTATTCATTTTTAAATTTTAAACTTTGTTCCCCCCATTACTTTTGTATTTAATATTCAATAAAAAAGCTTAATCATTACATATAATGTAATAATTAGTGTACTAGAGATTAATGAATGAAAAGATAATATATTCATCTTAACCTATATGTTTTATTGTTTTGAGCTTTTGATTTCAGTCTCGAAATTATCTACATTAGTTTATTCAATATCTAATCTGGTAATTCATGTTCTTGGACTTATAATGAAAAGGAAAAAGAAAGTTCCATTCATTAACATATCAAGCGATTTCAATTATAAAAAGAGTGTTATTATCTCTAAAAGTTTAGGTTTCAAATAGTTATGTATGTAGGAATGATGATATTATTAATGATAATTTTTTTAATTAAATATTATCTTATAATTACATTGGATATTATTAGGAAGACGTATTAATGATATTTTTTTGCCTTGGGTGTAGCAGAAAGTGAAAAGGACTGGAACATTTCAATCTAGGAAAAGGCCCAAGTTGGCGGAAATTGTTTGAAAAATGAAATGGAAGAAAAGGACGAAAGAAATGAGTTACTGAACCCAAGGCCAAGGGAATCATTTCCATTTCAAAAATGAAATGGAAGAAGAAAAGGATAAAAGAATCGAGAAAATCGCCTCAGTGACAAAAAATGTCTTATAATATACGATTTTAACCAACTTTTTCCGGATTTGCCAAAATGACCAACAAAATCGCAATGCGATCGCTAATTCGCAACGCGATCTCCATTATCGCTAATTCGCAACGCGATCTCCATTTTCGCAAATTCGCGTTGCATTTCGCGTTGCGATAATTGGAAATCGCATTGCGATGGTCTACAGTGTCGTTGCGATTTTCCCAATTCGCAATGCGAATAAGTAAATCGCAACGCGAATTGGGAAAATCGCAATGCGATACTGACTATCGCAATGCGATATACAAAATCGCAACGAGATACTGACTTTCGCAACGCGATTTTGACTTTCGCAACGCGATTTACATAGCGTCATTCGTATTAACGCGTTTTTTTTCTTTCAAATTCCAAACACGAATTTTTTCTTAATAAATCGGAAACTGAACCGTCCACAGTAATTGCAACTCATAACCTCAAACCCAAAATCACAACACTCAGTCCCATATCCATCTCTCACTCTCTACGGCGAAATCCGTCCCCATCTCCGAAGATTTCCGTCCCCATCGCCGGCGAAATCCCTCACAACCATTCACAGTAAAAAATCCCTCACAATCATTCAGAAATAGAAAATCAACCTCCGAGGGTTAGTTTTTTTTTTATTTTTATTTTGAATTTTTTGCATTATTTTAGGTTTTTCATATTGAGATTGATGATAAGTTTACTGGTAATTTCAATAATAGATTAACCATTGCACTTAGATTTCTTATTAAATTCATTCGATTGCTGCCAATACTGCTAAACTGTTTAGCCTGTGAAGTTAGTATTTATCTTTGTTTTGTCTTTTGGTTGAAGTAATGCAGAAGAAGAATAGTTTCGAGAATGAAAATCGCAACGCGGAAATAACTATCGCAACGAGAGAATCGCAACGCGAAATAAAAATCGCACGCAAAACCAAAATCGCATTGCGATTTTCATTTCGCGTTGCGATTTTCATTTCGCGTTGCGATTTTCATTTCGCGTTGGGATTTTCATTTCGCGTTGCGATTCTCTCGTCGCGATAGTCATTTCGCGTTGCGATTCTCTCGTTGCGATAGTCATTTCTGCGTTGCGATTCTCATTATCTCGTTGCGATTTTCATTTCAACCAAAAGACAAAACAGTCTTGCAAATTTTAGTTTCAAGAATAAACTACTATTTATGTTTATTGTTTTTGGTATATCTTGACAGTGTAGTTTTTGGTATATCTAACTTGGTATGTTTATTGTTTTTGTAGAAATTTTTTTCGGCTTCATTGACATTAAGGAATAAAGTTAGCCTAGCCACTACAATTGCTTCGAAGCTTTCACCTGCACAAAGAAAATTGTTTGAAGAAACCTGCTTCGGGCCATGGCTGAGAGTACAACATCCGGGTGGAGATGCTAATTTGACCCATTTGTGGCTTCAGACCATGACTAGCGATCTACCTGACAGTATACAACGTGGTGAGGAAGAGATATGGTTTCATTTTCCACCGGCGTATACTTGTTTTGGGCGGAAGGAGTTCTGCTTAATCACTGGTCTACGATTCAGACACGATGAAGTAGGCCGGTATACTCGTCATATCACCCGCCCATCATGGTTATCCAGGGTTTTTCCTGATGAGTCAATAGAGAAGCCGAACTTACACGTCGACGACATGAAGAAATTGTTTAATAAGAAAGATGGTTTTACTCGGATGAATGACGTCGATGTTGTCCGAGTATGCCTTCTACTACTTTTGTATGCCGGCTTTTTAGGCAGAGAGGCCAGACAACCTATTCCTCAGGAGCTAATATTATTGGTAGAGGACCTAAATGCATGGAATCTGTTTCCGTGGGGTTCGTATATATGGAAAGCTACCTGGACTAAGTTGTCGTCTGCCTTTGATGACCGCAAAAGTTTGCGGGGCGATGGGTCGAAATACACTTTGTCAGGCTTTGTTTGGGCCTTTAAGGTAAGAATTTCTATATAATGTTTTCAAAATTATAATTAATTATTTAACAATTACTAATGTTTGTTATTATATTGTTTGTAGATTTGGATATTCGAGGCCTTTCCCGCCATGAAGACATATGCAATAAAAACTTCAAATGATATTCCCAGGGCTATTTCCTGGAAGAGGAAACGTCTGTTGGATTGGGAAGACTTAATACCATATGCGACAATAAATAATGTAAGTTAACACAAATACTATCATATATAAACAAGTTATTAATAGTAGACGTTTAACTTTGTTTGAGTTTTTATATTTTTAGGAGGCTAACATTCCATTAATTAGACTGACACCCACGTAGGCTGAGCTTGCCACTGATTGGTGGCAACCTAGTCAGCGTTTTCTTGTTGGCACGAATGATGAGCAGTCTCCACTTCCTCCACTTCGAGAGCCATCACCTCACCCAGAGCCATCACCTGATCGACCCGACTATACACCTCTATAACGAGAGCCATCACCTATCCCGTCACATCATCGAGCCTCTTCTCCACCATCACCTCATGATAGGCGACCGACAAAGATGCCACGACTTCTATCTCCCTGTTCTCCACCTCCAGGGGATGAGTCAAGGGAGTTATGTGATGAGGTCAATGCCTTGCGTGAGGAGATCGGTACTCTACTCGATAACGATGGTGCATGGCGTGTGGAGGTGTCTACTTTACGTGGTGAGGTTGCCGCTCTACGTGAGATGGTAGTATCGTTGCAGAATGAGGTTCATACTCTACGCAACGAGGTAAGTTTAAGATTTTCCATATTTAACTTGATGATAAATTTACTCGTAATTTCACTTAAATTAACCATTTCACTTAGATTGCATAGTAAATTTATTCGGTTGTTGCCAATACTGCTAAACTGTTTATTAACACTGTGAAGTTAGTATTTGTCTTTTTGTTTTGTCTTTTGGTTGAAGTAAATTTATTCGGTTGCTGCCAATTCTGCTAAACTGTGTATTCTTTAACACTGTGAAGTTAGTATTTGTCTTTGTTTTGTCTTTTGGTTGAAAGTTTGAAATATATTTGTCTTTGTTTTCACTGTTTAAATATCATGTCTGTTTATTTACTGATATTTGTACTTAATTATTTAGCGGACCGATAAGGTGGATGCTTTACGTCGGGTTTTTCTTGCACGACAGAGTTCACGCATCAGACGGCGTGCACGTGCTATTAAGTCTCCGTATACCCCAATAGTGCGAAGACACCGCAAGAAGAAGCCTGACTCTCCTGTCATCCCTCAAGAGTCCACTCCTATCGTTGAAGAGGCCCCTATCATTCCTCGAGAGTCCCCTCCCACCGTTCAAGAGGCCACTGTCATCCCTCAAGAGTCCACTCCTATCGTTGAAGAGGCCCCTATCATTTCT